TGCTGTTTCGTGTCACAGTGTTTTCCGACTTGCTGTGAGGTATGATACGTTAACTTGATAGTATCATACAAGTACAGTATGTTTTCTCTGAGAGGCTAGGGTAATGTATTGCAAGTAGGGCTAAGCCCGAAAGTGCCGGGCAGTACGCTAGCGGGTGTATGCTCGGCAAAGACGAGTCTTGGCCATTAGGGAGGAGATTCTGTACTGTACTTAAACACCCCTCCTCACCCCGGTTGCCTTCCCATCATCCCATCTAAAAAACTTCATACCAATTACACAAACTCCATCCAATCACACACAAACTTCAGAAATTTCCTCCACTACCCATTGAATCGATACACGAATAAACCATGGTCGAGCTTAGCAAGCTCCTCGGTTTGTTCAAGAACTCCTCCGGTTGTGAAATGTCCCGCTTACTAATTACCCATTATAATATTTCTCAACTGGCGTTTCCAAGCACAGGGCCCCCCTTATAGTCGTGCTTGCAACTCTTGGAGGCAACCGCGCGGTAGTCATCCAGAGGAGATACGAAGATCATCCCCACACCCGTCGTTGTAACACCGAGCAAGCCCTTCACGAGATGCAACGCGCCACGAACACGAACACTTCGCCCGGCGGAACCAAGTAGCCTTTGCCAGTACGGCTTGGGGGCACAGGAATAATCTGCCGCTTCCACCTGGTAGGAATGCCTGGTATTGCGGCGCCGGCCTTCGTCTTTTAAGTTTGTTCCGGGGATGATAGAATCAGGGACAGTGGATGTTTAAGGAATTGAGCTTGCGATGGGGAGGTTTTACGTTTTCTGCAATGGTCATAACTTTAAAATCAATAAAAATCCTGACTGTGACACTTGTAGTGGGGTTGGAGTGGTGCATTGTTTTCAAATATTTGGTAGAAGCGTGCACTACCGTAAGAACTCAAATAATTGGCCCATCCTCTAGGACGTTGGACTTGCCTCTCCTGGTATGATCTGGTGTTTTTCTTCTTTCTTTGTCTCAGACGGTTGGTTTTTTTTTTTTTTTTGGTGTGTTTTTCTCCCCTTTTACAGAAGAGGAAATTTCTGACAATAGCACTTGGGCCAATTATTCGAGTTTTTGAGGTAACATGTAGAAATAGTTTTTCATCAAATGCGAGGGTTTGTTCTCCTGTCAACCAAAACCCCACCCTGCGTTCTAACACTACTACAACATATATAATTCCCTACAAAACAAGCACCCCCCCTTCTTATAACCTCGAGATGATAATGAAATCTCTCAAGTAGAATGTTTCCTCAATGTTCTGGATGGGTGATAGGGGTTATAGTTGATTCTGGGAATTGGAGGAGACCGGTATATTGGAGGCACATGTGGAGAAACCGAGATGGTCCTTGTGGCCATGATGTATTAGGATGCTTCGATTACATAAGGCTAATAGAGAACAATAGCGGGGTTTCGTGGTGCAGTTGGTTCTACACCATACCGCAAAAACTCGAATAAACGGACCATGTGCCAGGTACTTATAATCCGAAGTTTTCCTCCTCTGTAATACTGGCAGAAAACCCACCAAAAAAAGCCGCCTCCGAGACAAATAAAAAAAAAGCCAGACCTTACTAGGAGAGGCAACTCCAATGTCCTATGATACAGTAACACATAGTGCATTTATTCCGTTGGAAAAATATCGGCCTCCACGGCTCTATGGGAAGCTTGGCACAATAATCATCTGGGGCTTGACTCAAGATTAGGCTTGGCATGGGTAAGATTTAGTTTACCTCTTCGAAGAGAAGTGACCAAGTTTTTTCACGCTCCAAATTTAGCCACCACCGGTCAAACGACTCTGCACTCATTTGTCCCACCCATGGCTCTAGTTCCTCATCACAAGTACTCATTCAAAGGAGAAACTAGCTTTTCCCACCTATATCTCTTTCAGCAAGTTTGTTGTTCCTACACCACATGGGGCACGCACTTCGAATTTGTTCCTCACATTAATTCTAGAAGCTCATCGACAATCATGGCTCCCAAGTTGAAGGGGCTACAAAAAGAATTCAAGGACGCCAGACTGGACCATATTGGCAATGTTCCAGAGTTGGTCCAACGCCTAAAAGACATTGGAATTGCAGGAAGAGTTCGCCCGAGGATCAAGAGGATATGACATGTGACGCAATACTCGTTAACCAATCAATGATTGGTAGCATGGATGACGTGAAGAGAAATACCTATCATGCATTCGAGCAAACACTAGAGGCGGATGAGCTCAAGGTTCATGAGGTGGTGGGGAAGGTTTACGTTGGTAATCGCCAGTGTCCTGGGCTCGCTGGTCTCCCAGAACGTGTTCATATACTGGAGGAGAAAATTCTTTTACTTGCTGAGGAAAACACTGAGATCAAGGCCAAGATCGGAAAGCTGAATGATTACGTATCCATCCTGAGTCTTGCTAGGCCTAATTACAAAAGAATTCGGAATAGATTTCTCACCATCTTTAAGCAGGATAAATTGAAAGAGATCCTCAAGCAGTTGGACCGGAATATCATTGAAGAGGGAAATGTCACGGTACGTTCGGAGGATGCTGCCATCGATGCTTTGTTGTATGATGGCACAGAGAGACGACAAGATTCTTATATATTTGAGGCACTTTACGGATTACACCCATCTGATGTCATGGAAATCTGGGAGTAATCTTCGTTATCTGATCTATCTGATCTCAACTTGAAGTTGGAAACTTTCTATGGGAGTTGCCACCCCAAGTGTCCAGCTTCAACTCGGCTGCGGAAGTAAGTGCCATCATTAAGGCTAACTTCTCCAGCCCACAAGGAAACAATTGACATACTGAGCCGCCACGCTAGAGTCAAAGTCCATAAGGATAAAACCGGGACAGACGAGTTTTACAAAAGATTTGCCATGTTCATACAGGCATTCGGAAGGTTGGACCCCCGAGTAAACTATTTAAATGAGGGCCTCACAAATGCAACCTGCGCCGCATACTGGTCGCCCCCCGAATGCCAGGCATATGAGGATAGTAAGTAAGGTAATGTCACAATCAGAGGCATTTCACAAAGGAGATAATAATACTTTAGTGAATCAACCAAGGAGGGGGGGGGTTTTCATGTGGTGGGGTAGTAGGCAGGGAGGAGGGGGGGTTTCATATCGCGTGGCAGCAGGCAGGTGGAGGGGGAAAAGGACTATTTCTACTTTAAAAAACCCCTTTCCCGCCCAGTGTTCCCTTTTTGTTTTTTGCTGGTGTTTTGGTGGTTTTTATAGATTGAATTTTATCGGGTTTATTATCTTCCCGTCTTCAGCCCCCCTTCACTCTTCCCTTTGTGCGTTGAATGTATGGGGATCGAACTCCCGTTCCCAGGTTTCAGTCCTTTCTTCCTCCCCCTCACATTAAAAACAAGGCCGAAATGCAACTTGATTACTCAGTAACTTTACTCGGTAATCTAAGGTTAGGGTTTTTCTCAGAAAAATTGTTTTTTAGGGTACAGGTGATGTACTGACGGGAGCCCAATAATAAATGTGGTTTCGCGATGTATCATAGTTGGCAATACACCACAAAACCGCTCAACCATTCATCAGACTCTCACCCTGAACCCGAATCAAAAAGTAATGAGTCAGCCATCGGTTGAACACCATATTTGCTACCGGTATTGAAAAACATCAGCTTCTCCCCACCTATCGCAACTTAGGGACATATAGGTAAGTTCACTTCCAAGTCGAAATTATCGCCCTTTGCATGGCTCCTGGTTTAGATCTTCCCCTCGCAAACTGGAACTGTGCTACCCCCTAAAAAGGTTCAATACCGGGGTCAACTGTGGCAGCGGACTAGTAAATAGGAGTTGATGGGTCAGTCTTTGGTTGGAAACCATCGTGCTTTGCACGGCTCTAAGGGTCTATCATATCATACATTTCCATACGGAACTAAAATCATACCAGTCTAACAAACTTGCCGTCCCTAGCCAAAACCCGGGCGAGAGCAATTTTTCTAACCTCTTGGGGCTAGTTATCACTTTTGCTCTCCCCTAGACTTAGTTCTTCTTACGGTGTTTTTTCTTTTGCAATTACGCCCCTCGGTTTGGTTAGGGTGAATTTTATCACCATCCTGAATGCTTGATGGTCATCTCTTGGGAAGGTGTGGGAGCGAGTCGTAAGATATACCTTCAGAATGGAATGGTCAATAGGTTCCATATTTGCCAAACACCAGTTGCATTCTGAAATTTTGAAATGGAAGGAAATGGTCACTTTGCATGAGGAAATGAAATGGCTCTATTTTTGCCAAACAGGGCCCAACACGTCTCTAAGGACTGCGGCCAGATTAATCACATGTCCCTTAAAGATTTGTATGCCCCAGTCGTGAACACCGTAATCCTCAAAACCATCATTTGAGCAGTTAATCCAGCTGTCCCAACTTGGTAGCATACCGGTATTAGTATGGTTATTTTCAGGAACAGGGATCGGGTGAAGGCAGGAGTTCTGAGTTAATGATGGGAAAGCTTGAAGTCCTGCGAAGGGTTGCTGTGGAAGCGGGGCCCGCCATACGGTACTCATTCTAAAACGTGGCAATGCTTTTAAGGTATAATGCTGCTCGGGAGCGATATTTTTTCCATTGTCTCACTTTTTCGCCGCACATGAAATCTGTACTACCGGTACTTGACCATTCATAAAGTGTTCGGATGCCTTGGCGCCAAGGTATGTCATCAAGCACCTAAACATGGAATCTTGGCGCCAAGGCATCCGAATACTTTATGAATTGTCAAGTAGTCGGGGAAAGTGGTGGCGCTTTCTCGCTGTAACTTCTATGCACCGGTATCCCTATAAAGTCACGTTTCACTTCTGGCATCACATTTGAGTAACAACACATACCCATATTTTCGTGTCGCTGAGTAGGACCACTCCCGCCCCACCAACTTCAGTTCAAGAATAATCTACGTAAGCAAATCCGCCACCCAGCGGATGCCATATATGGCTAACAACTCCACCGTGAAATCCCCCGTGAAATCTTCGTCAACTATTCGGCCAAGCCACCCACTTCTACCGGCTACGGTGCTCGTGCACTCCACAACTATAGAAGGCGTTACAATATTTTTTTTCCTAGACCTGCCAAAACGAGATAATCCTTCAGATCTCAAGAGGCTCCTGGGCTGCGGACTTTCGAACGGGGGGAGATACCCAGAGCGGCAGTGTCCTCGGTAAGCAAGACATCTTTCCGCACACTGATAGACTGCGGTGTCGACACAACGGCCAAGGGGGGAGCCGCCTGACGCTACTACACGCAGCAGCTCCCGGGGGCGGATGGAATCTCCTTAAATTCGCAGCAGTGCGACCGAACGCCGCTACGCGACGCCATCACAATGGCTGCGAGGAAATGGTGATATTGCGACTGCGCGACGGGAGGACACCGATAAGCCAGGCATTCCCGGCGGGCCCGCTAGCCCTACACCCTCCGGTCAACCTAGCGGACAAGGGGATGACACAGCTACACCTGTCGGACGAGGGGCTCGACGCCAACACCCGTGGCACGTGCAACAGGACGCCGCTGCGCCGGGCTGTCAGGACAAAAACCGGAACGACATACTCACGATACTGCTAACCAATAAGCGCGCGGATCTGAACTCAAAAGCCAAAACGGCCTGACACCATTTCACGAGGCAGTCAAGCTCGCTTGCGAAGCCGCAGTCCGGACATTCCTGACCTCTGACGCAGTCGACATCAGCGCCGGGACTCGGGCGGGGAGACGCTGCGGCAAGAAAGGGGAATGAGGGAGTTTTTTAGGTTGCTGCTTGAAAGGGGCGATCTTGATCCTGATGCCAATCGTTTTGGTAGCAGTTCTATTAGGTCGCTGGCGAGGAGCTACTCCTCTACTATCAGGAAGCTTGTGCTAGATTATGGAAGTTCTGGGCAGCAAGTTGTGAACGAGGCATCCGTCTCCCAGAAGGAAGTGGCTAGAGAGAACTGGGAGGTGGAATAGGTGGGGGTATGCCTAAAGCGTGTACGATAGAAGCGTGTAGACGCAATACTGTTCGTGCAACGATGAGAGTACAACTCAGCTGAGTGAGCTGTTGTGATTGGAGACTCGATTGCATCGTCTTTGTCACCTCGATTTGGCACACGCAGCAAAATGGCCAGGGAAAACACGAAGCAAAGATGGAACAGGAGCCCTCGGGACTCAGGGAAGACACCAGATGATCCAATTCCTCAGAAATATCCAACAACCCCACAGAACAGCGAACCATATCAAACCACATGGGCACGAAGCCACCCGAATTCCAATCCCATTTCGCCTGCTCGATGGCGTACACGAGCTTCCCCCATGACTCCAACACTCCTCCGAACAAGCACGCTCCCAGGAGCGCGCCCCTGATGTACCATTGGCGGATGATAACAATAAAAAAGCGAGTACGTGAGGCAATTATCTCCCCCCCCCCCTCTCCGGTCTGATGGCCTTTCCATCTGCACCTTTGACTCCCTCGTGAGCGTTGAAACTCTTTTTGATTTTCCCTCTACCTCACCCCACCATCAGACTGAAGCCAGGCGGCCGCTGTAAGCGCTACCGTGAGAGTAGATCCGGAAAGAAGGCAAATTGGACAACTGCGAGTTATCGGGCCGTCTCAAGTGTAGGGGAAAAGGCGTTGTTCCTTACAGGCAGGCATGCGGGGAGTGTCTGGGTAACGCCTTCGGCGATCGCTTGCATTAGCGTCTCACTACCGATATCACATAGGGTTGCCGGGGGTGTGGGTCTGATTGGTATTGGCAGTATCGTGGTAGTGGGTGAGGGTCGGTTGTTTGAGATGTTGTATCGAGGGATCGCCCATTATATGTGCCTGTAATTAATGGGAAATGGCTACCCGACAAGGTTAGACCAATTTTACGAGGGCACAAAACAGCACTCGAGTAGGGGGTTGAGGGTAATAATTCTATCTCCTGTTGTGAAGGCGGATGGTCGGTATTATACATGATTGAAATCTCGACTGGTTTTCCATTGTTGGGAGATTGTACAGGCGGGACACCATCCCATTGATAGGGTATGATATTCCCACGAGTATCTCGCGCAGAGGTTGATGGTATTGTAGGGGCTCCGATAATCGAAACCAGTGCTGTCCCGCTAGAGTTGCCTTCTTTCATATGGTATGGTATCATACGGTGTTTCTCTGTCTTTTTATCTCTCGGAGGCGCGGAGTAGCTCGTTTCGTTTCTCTTCCCCTCCCCCTCCCCCTCTTTTTTTGCTTTTTCTGCTGTTTCTTGTCGCTAAAGTAGGGGAATTCTCGAATACGTGGCATGCAGTTCGATTGTTTGGGCCTTCGCGGTGAAAACCACGGTATGCCAGTTGCGAGGGTCGTGTGAGAAGGTATTCACATCCAATTTCACCTTATCGCAAAACATTTCAACCATTCCCACATCCCTTACGGTTCACCTTGGGCGTTGAGTAGTGGGGTAGTGTACAGTACTCGAGTACCGTATTTCATAATGCACGTGCATGTAACCAGGGAATCGTAGCCTACCGGTAACTCGTACAACTACCGGTAGGCGATGGGATGGAACATACCCGTACTTACCGAGATGTTCCAAATCAGGGCGGACACGCACAATCGGTGCCGGTAGTTTGGATTGTATAACATCGTTCTTAATTATCCTGGTTGTCGCTCTACCGAGGTGAAATACTCGGGTACCAGCACTACTCGGTATCCGCAAGAGGTACAGTACAGTAGGCGAAAACAGGTATTAAAGAAGTACAGCAAGGTACCGTACTCGAGAAGGGTACCGTACTAGTGTGTGGTAAAATGGCTGTGCGTGTCTGAGCACTCATAGGGAATATTCCCCTGTTTACCATACAAGCACAAGTACAGTACTAGTACTACGGGGTATGGACGTTAGTGATGGGAAGGACAGGGGTTTTTGCGTCCGGGCGCTGATACTGTCAGAGGGAAAAAATTATTCAACTTGGTAATTTAGGTGTAATGCTAGGAGGGGTAAGATGCCTTGACAACGTGAACCCCTGTCCGTCTCATCACTAACGTCCAACTCTTGCGATTCACGCGTCTCAGGAAGTTCCTGTAAATCGCAGATCAGGTAGTTTGGCAAGTTAACGGAATCGCGAAAACCAGATGAGGAGATCCAACGCAGCCAAGGGACTCAAGCTACTCGAGTATCGTGCTGGGAAGGCAATGCGGTAATCCTTCTCAAGAGCTTCTGTCATCGAGCCCCTAGATTAACGGGGTGAGGGCGGCGGTGAATCGCAAGAATTTTTACGGTGCTCAGGTAGGGTACGGTACTTTTCACTCTACGGATAGCGAGTACGAGTACATTAGGCGTTTGCCACAGCTCGCGCCATCCGACGCCTTCCCAATCCGAAGCTCGGGAAAGTGGTGTACCGTACAGTACTGCTGCTCCGCCACGGTTCGGTCCGAACGGCCCATCGTGTTTCAAGGCGGATCCTCCTTGAAACACCGACCCCCTGTGATCGGTTGCGCGCAACCAACCCGGTCCCAAAGTTTGAAGTCACACACCTCTGCAGAAGCATCATAAATAAGCAAGCCTGGCCATCCCAACCATCGCGCTCTGGCCTTTCAATCCCCGTGGTCAATAGTAGTTGGCACTGGGGGTATCATAGCAGTACGGTCGTGCTTGTGCTCTTCAGCGCTTGGGAATAACGGTAGGGAGTGCTAAAACCTTGGTTGGGATGGAATGGGTTCGGGTTGGATTTTCGTCACCAGGGCTGATTGGGTTGGACTCCTACCCCGATTCAGGACGAACCCCCCCCCCCATCGTTTTCGCTGGACGGGCTTTAATTGGTGCAGATGTGAATGAATCTTCAACCTTGTCCTAGGCCAGACGTACTCGAGTATTCGAAAAATAGGAGGCGTGATTTTGCCTACCGGTATGCCCATATACGCACGGACCTTTTGCCAACATATCGGTATTTTGCGAACCCCTACTTCGTGGGACAAGTGTATGGAAAGGACAAAAAGAACGAGAGAATAAGGCAAGGAAAAAGGAAAGGAAGAAACAGGGGGGAGGGGGAATGGGAAAAATGACGAAAGGAAGAAGTGAGGGGAAAAGAAAGGGGGAAAAGGAAAGAAATCGGAAAATGGAAAAAGAAACAGTTTACTTGTAGAGGCACAATTCTTGTGGAGTCTCACTCCAGCACCTTCTCTTTCCGCAGGGCGAGCTGAGAATCCCCATGGGCTCCCGCCTCACCGTATGGTACAACTGCGTTCGCACGATGTAATGAATTTCGACGTTCGGGACCCGAAGGCTGCAAAAAGTCGTCGAGTTGTTACAAGTTCCCGGCATGTAGAACCTGAACACAGGGATTAAATTTTGTATGGTGGATTGTCTGTGCGGGTCTGAGCGCACATACTAAATTTAGACTCCAGTGTTCAGGTTCCTCTTGCCGGTAACCTGTATTATCTCCATGTTGTCGGTACAGAGTAGGGGTCGAGTTGCGCCGTTTGCCTTTCTGCACTCCGCATTACTCGAGTATGTTGTGCCGTGCTGTCTCTTGGCACGGTACGGCGAACTTCAGGCAACAAGACGGCTGCCCGTGCTTGCAGGGGTTCACGATAACAACTTGCATCAGGACAAGGGTTCGGGAGTAACAATAACCAGTGGCAATCAATAATGCCCCTCCGAGAACTCCACCCCTCTCAGGGAAGAAGCGATATTAGTGTTCTCTGTGGGGTGGGTTACCGCTTCCAACTATGAGAGCATTGCTGTTCAATGGGTCAGGAAAACTATCGATTGCACGGTATGGATAGCATGTCTCGATTGACGGCACTTTAGCGGTTACTGTGTCAATAATCTCACAACTTGCCTCAAGAAGCGGGAGAGAAATACCGCAATTGACTGCGTGGGGCTAACCACCACCATCCTGCACGTACCATACATAACGAGCTCGAGTATTTGAGTCCGAATTTAGTATGGGCGCTCAGATGTGCATAGCCAATTTGTCATAAATTTCTTTGCCACCCTGTGTTCGGGTTCATTTTGCCTCCCTGCTACGTGTGCTGTACCTCAACTCTTTGGTCAGATCCATGAATGGAGCCGCTCACGCGGCCGAGTAGATACATCAATAAATTCAATAATGAGCTTGATTGTGGAACTTTCGTGCGTGTGGTATCCATAAACTAAAAAATGTCACCCTTAGGTCATTCCCTTGTCCACAGCAATGCGTGCACATTTTGCGGTGGGGGCGGCATGTGAACGTCGATATCAATTGAAGTGATAACCAGATTTATGTTGTAAACTGGACAATCGCTCCTTTCCTGATACTTGATTTATTGGAGGCGCATGCGAAGATGGGCAGGTGACGAACAGGGATTAGAAGTACGAGCATTAAGCGCCGGCAAAGAAAATCTAGGGCGATCTAGCTTGCGTAAGGGCACGAGTGATAGTACGTGCAGCAAGAGCGCTAAGTTAATCGGCAAAGTGAGGATTCCCTACAAATGGTCAGGCAAACCGGAAAGGCCGCTGCGAGATTTTTTTATTTTTATTTTTATTTTTGAAGCGATATCCGAAAAAAGAAAAGGAAGGGGCACTCCGGATGGCCCCTTCCGAACGCCTTTTGGGAGCCCGCCTCTCTCTTTTCCCCTCCCCCGCCTTTCCGCCTGCCAGTGCTGTGTGCCGGGACCCCTCCCTACGGCGAGAAATAGCAAATAGAAAAGGCATGAGGTGCAGGTTGCTGTTACGAACCGGGAGGAGCAGTTGGCTTATGTGAGAGTTATTGGACAAGAACCCTCCTCCCTCACGAAAGTACGCCAACGCCTACCAATGAGCACTCGTGATTGAAAACATTCCATTTCGATGAGAAGTAGTAGGAGGGGTAAAGGAGGGGCATATCTATCCCCTGTCGTACGTGTTGTGTTGGCAATTGCAGGCAGATCACGCGGGGAGTGGGTTGGTTGGGGGAGCAGTTGCCTGAGCCGATATCCTTGCTCCAGAAATTGAGTTCTGCATTGACTGGAGCACGAAGGTGGCAAGAAAGGGGCAGAAAGGCGGCCGACTGGCAACCCATCCATCCCTCCAGAGAGAGTCTCTAGGGTATCCTTGGTAATCCTGTACTCGTTCCAAGCAAGAAGCATCCGAAAGCAGGGATTCGCAAAATATATGGTAAAATACGCGTGCGTATCTGACCCCCCATACTCAACCTCGACTCGTATTTTCTGGTACTCCTTTCCTGGGAAGAGTAGTAGAGGGATGTGGTAATTTATTGTTATGTATGTACACGTACCCGGGAAAATAAGCCCGGGTGGGGGGGCAGATTCTTTTGTCTGTGTGCGTCTGGGCGCTTATGCCAATATCGGACTGGAGTATTCGGATTCACTTTTCCTTTAAAACATTAACCTTTTTCATTTCGGGCTCTCTATGCTAAACTAAAGCGTCTGCCCTCAGTTCGGGTTCATTATGCCAGGTACGTGTACCATTGAATGTGGGATCCGATGGCTACGAAACTAGCTATTGCCCATACACGGCGCCAGGGGCTTACTCGCTCACCACGACATTCCTTCGCCTACAGGCCC